AACTGAGTTAAATAGAAGTACATAACAAAGGTCAGACATTGAGACTTTTCAGGTTGCACAACTACAGAACACAAGGATGCATTCAAGTTTTTAGATTGCCGATACATTTTCAGCAATTGAGGGGCAAACTACCAAATCATGATCTGCAATTTTTACAATAACTAGTTGGTTCATTCTCAAACATACCAGCAGTAGTATGCTAAAGATGTCCAGCTAATTAACAAGTTATGTTTGGTCAAGTCTCCTCTCGATCTCCTCCATACAGCCCACAGCCCGCCTACCCTCACTTTATTGTATTTGATCTTAAACAAGACCCGACCGGCCGGCTGGTGGAGCTACCCCTCTCCATAGAAGTAAGTTGTGATAATCGTCGCTAGCTATTGCTTGCTGGCAATGTCATCCATAATTGAGACACAAAATGACAAAGTTTACGTGTATTAATTTGATGTCGACGAGGCACCAACTAGCTGCAAGCATGTTAATATTTTTTATATAAAGATGCTTTAGAGTGCACCTCTAGCACATCGTGTGTTGTTAAGACTATTCCCCGACTAATTAACCATCTCAATTACTGGGGAACCGGCCTAAACCATGTGATCATATCCGCTTTAGTTGCTAGCTAAGACACACATGCACATTATCGTTTGGTCTATTAGGACCAACCTCAGAGATCCCCTTCCCCTATAGCAGCACGGCGGTCTGGTAGCTGGAAAACAGCACTGCAACCTTGCATTTCTTGCCGCAACCAGTCCTTTCTCCTCAGCATCCACCTATCGTGAGCTCAACTTTGTGAGGGTCTTCCACAAAGAAAAGGAAAAAGTGTTCTGTGAGGAACCAGCCAGAGCCGGAGATGGCGGAGACGGTGGTAAGCATGGCGAGGTCCATGCTGGGGGGTGCCATCAGCAAGGCCACCTCTGCTGCGGCTGCCGAGCTGAGCTTGGTGATGGGTGTGGAGAAGGATATCTGGTATGTACGGATGCATCCATTTACATGCTAACTCTTTCAAGTTGTTACATAGATCAGCTTACTAATACCAAATCTAGGAAATATATAGGTTTTGCCACACATGTTTCAGATCTCATTTTCCATTGTTTGAGTAATTGAGTTATTCGGTTTCATGGATGTGGCAAACCTCCTCATGCATTGTCGCAGGCATACAACCTGTTATAGAATAGCACCAATGATTGTTCTAGAGACTTTTTACAATGCATCATACTACCTAATTTGATGGGTAGTATCAAAATTGATCCAACGGTTAATATAGGTTGACTTAGAATTTAGCTTGGGGACAAATTGGTAATGTGGATTTGTCCTTTTAGTCCCGATGCCACCTGCCCGCCCGACTCCGCTAGCCGGCCGCTGCACGCTCGCCGCATACCTGGCCTCCCGTCATGCCTAAGGACATGTGCCTTCGTCTCCACGGCCATGTGCTTTATCAGCTACGTGTGTTCTCCATTTTTGCCATGAAGTTATGCCTCCGGTGGCTCATCTAGGCTGCTGTTACGTATGTTTCTCGTACCTAGGTACGACAGCAAAGGTGCAGTGCAGTGCCTGCTGGAAACAACGACGACATCGAAGGACTCACGACCTCCTCGCCTCCCATGCTATGCTCCAACTCTCATCCTCTCCGCACGACGATCAAATTAAGGGCAACGCTACAAGTAGTCACTTACCACCTCGGGCGACGCCGCAGTCGGCGAATGCGTGCAGGGAAGCGAGAAACTCCTTGTGCCCTTGCCAACGAGGCTGTGATGGCCCGGGAAGTCCGTGAGCTAGCATGGCAGGTTGGTGATCACAGAGCAGCTCGCCTGCAGCCTCCAGCCCCATCGTGGCTGCACGCGCGGGGCACTCAGCCGGTGAGCTCGAGCGAATGCAACTCGTGAGCACATGGTGATGAGGATGTGTTTAAGGAGAAGGCGAGAGACCGAACGATTTTTCAGAATGGAGGTATTACGAAGGATGCATCAGGCCTGATATGTTTTTGCCCCTACGAATTTCAGAGTTTTTATGCTGTTAATATTCCGATTTTACCCTTCAACAGAAAATACTACCCTGCTTTAGCCAAAAATACTCCACAATTTGAGCAGTAGTATTGGTTAATCTTGTCCGTTCAATGGATAAAATGGATGGCTCTTATTACTTTGATCTACTGTAAAAGGTCTCTTGTTCTATGCTTGTTTGGAACCTCAATTATGCTTTTTTGGCACGTTCATCAAGGACGAGCTGAAGACGATGCAAGCGTTCTTGGCAGCCGCTTAAGCAACGAAGAACAGAGACATGCTGCTGATGGTGTGGGCAGAGCAAGTAAGGGACCTATCCTACAATATAGAAGACTGCCTTGATGAATTTATGGTTCATGTGAGGAGCCAAAGTCTGATGAAACGGCTTATGAAGCTGAAAGATCGTCGTAGGATTGCTGTTCAAATTCGCAACCTGAAATCAAGAGTTGAAGAAGTGAGCAGCAGGAATGCACGCTACAACTTGATCAAGACAGAGGCCTCAACGACCAGTGACAAGGAGGTTTCTTACATAGAAGATGTACGTAATCACTCGGCAAGCAATACTGATGAAGCAGAACTTGTGGGCTTTACCAAGCCTAGGGAGGAGTTGATTAAGCTGATGGATGTCAACACTACAACGCTCTCTGTATGAGGAGGCTGGGGAGCGGCTTGGACTGGGTCAATGACGCCGGCGGCGTACCAGCTGTTGCACGGAGGGGGGAGCTGTCCGGGCCTTTAAGGGCCCGGCCGGGCCTGTGGGGCCACGGGCCCGGTAGGCTCCTGCCATGGCGTCCGATCGGCTACCGTCGTGGACGGTGGAGGTGGGGCCCTCCCGTATGCCGATGGTGCTGTTGCTCTAGTCCCGGCTCCTCTTCTCCGTTGTGCAGACCATCTTCGCGGTGCTGTGGTGAGACAGCGTGGGAAGCTTCGTGTTCGTGTTGGCGCAGGGTGGTGGTCGGTCTGGTGGCGAGCTCCGGAGTGCCTGAGGGAGAGGCTGGGATCGGGAGAAATCTTTGTTGGCTTGGCCGACACCGACGCGGTGGCGCCTGAGGGTGCCGCCGGACCTTCTTGGAGGGCGTCGGGGCTACCCTTCCTCTCTCCTCGCCGTGTACCGGGGGAAACCCTTGGCAGCAGCGTCGTCATCGTCGCGTCCCTTCTTGGAGGTGTTGTTGGGTACAGGCACTTCGGAGTCTCGGAGCTTGGTGGGTGATCTCCGGTGGACGCAGTGGTCACGAGGCTTCGTCGTTTTTGTCGATCCGCCGTTATCGGCATTTGTTTCTTTTCTTTTTTTTCTTTCTTTTCTTTTTGGGCGTGTTTGTGCTGCTTCCGCCCCAGCCCCTATCGTCGGTTGTATCGGTTGGTTGCTTTGTAATACAAAGCGGGGGGAAACCCTTTTTCGTCGATGTCAACACTAGAGATGGTGATGCCAAAGTTATATGTGTCGTTGGCATGGGTGGTCTAGGCAAGACAACTCTAGCAAGAAAAACATATGAAAGTAAGGAAGATATTGTGAAGAATTTTTCTTGTTGTGCTTGGGTCACAGTTTCACAGTCATTTTTCAAGATAGAAATGCTCAAGGATATGATCAGGCAACTTCTGGGTGGAGATTCAACTTCTGGGTGGAGATTCACTGAAGAACTTGTTGAAAGAACTTGAAGGGAAGGTGGTGCAAGTAAAGGACCTCGCCTAGTACCTCAATCAAGAGATTAAGGATAAGAGGTACCTTATTATACTTGATGACTTGTGGACAATAGATGCATGGAGGTGGATTAAAGATATTGTTTTTCCTAATAGCAACAAGAAAGGTAGTAGGATAATAGTGACAACACGTGATGTTGGCTTGGCAAAGGAATGTACTCTTGAATCCCTTATCTACCACCTTAAAACCTTAGAGGTAGTCGAGGCCACAAATTTGCTACTAAAAAAGAGTAGGAAAACATATGAAGACTTGGACAAAGATGAAAACTTCAAGAGCATAGTTGAAAAACTAGTTAAAAAGTGTGGTTGTTTACCACTGGCCATACTCACAATTGGAGGGATACTTGCCACTAAAAAAGTAGTAGAGTGGGAGCACATCTATAACCAACTCCCGTCTGAGCTTGAGAGTAACCCCAGCCTTGAAGCAATGAAGATGATGGTTACTTTGAGTTACAACAACTTGCCATCTCATCTTAAGCCATGTTTCTTATACCTAAGCATCTTTCCTGAGGATTCGGAAATCGAGATGAGGCGTCTAGTAGAAAGATGGATTGCCGAGGGGTTGATTAGGGGTGGGACTGGGGTGAACATTGAGGATGTGGCAAAAGGTTATTTCAATGAGTTAATCAACCGAAGCATGCTTCAAGCATCTAGGGTGAACATAGAAGGAGTTGTGAAGAGCTGTCGAGTCCATGATATTGTGCGTGATGTCATGATCTCAGTTTCTAGAGATGAAAATTTTGTGCATGTGGCAGGAAATAATGTAAGTGGTGTTATGGAGGAGACCTTCCGACATGTAGCATACCATGGTAGCATGTGCCAAAAGATAGATATGGGTTGGAGCCACGTCCGGTCAATAACTATGTTTGGTGAGAGACCATTGCAGCCATCAGCTTCAGTTTGTTCACCTGGCATGAGAATGCTCCGGGGCTTGGATCTAGAGAATGCACAGTTTCAAGTCACACAAAAGGATATCAACAACATAGGATTGTTTCGCCACCTGAAGTATCTGAATTTTTCTTACCCACCAGGGTATTCACATATTTATAAACTTCCTGATCCATAGGGAGATTACAAGGCTTGCGCACTTTGAACATTAGAGACAGTTATATTACAGAACTGCCAACTGAGATTTGTAAACTCAAAAATCTACACAGTCTTCGTTGTACCAGAAATAATTCCTATCAATACTTTGACCTGAATGACCCCAAGAATTGCTTGTTGAGCACATTTTGTTGGCCTTTGTTGTTCACACCTTCAGTAGATCCTAGTGAGCGTGCCAAGTTTGTTACTGACCTACACATGGCCTGGTCTAGCTGTGGGTCCAAGTCGGAAGGTGTGAGGGTGCCAAAAGGAATCGGCAAACTCAAAGAGCTGCAAATACTAGAGGTTGTAGACATCAGCCGAACTAGTTGCAAAGCAATTAAAGAGCTAGGTGAGCTTGTGCAGCTGAGAAAACTAAGCGTGGTAACAGAAGGGGCCACCAAACAAATATGCAAGCTACTCTGTGATGCCATTCAGAAGCTCACTTGCCTCTGCTCCCTTTCAGTGGATGGTTCACTCGAGTGGCTGCATGATGTTTCCTCTCCTCCTCCCATGTTGAGGAGTCTCAAGTTGCATGGATGCCTTGGAGAGATTCCAAGCTGGTTTGGGAATCTGACGCATTTGGTCAAGCTTTACTTATCGGACAGCATAATAAATGAAGATGGTAAAATCATGGAAATACTAGGGCCACTTCCCAACCTCATGCAGCTTCGTCTTGGAGATGGCTCTTATATTGGGGAGAAGTTGGTGTTCAAAACAGAAGCATTCCCAAATCTCAAGAAGCTTGGTATTTGTGATCTGGTGGGACCGAGAGAGTTGAAATTTGAGGATGGCACCTCACCCCAGCTGGCAATGATATATATCGGATGGTGCGAATTGGCATCAGGAATTATTGGAGTCAACCACCTTCCAAAGCTCAAGGAGATCGCACTTGGGTACGATTGTCGAGTGGCGAAGCTTGCTATGCTGCAAAGTGAAGTGGGTGCACATACCAACAGTCCCGTGCTGCGACTGTCCGAGGAACGGAGCGACCACGACCTGGGAGGGACCGTCGCCCAAGTGGAAGAAGCAACGGTGGAATCCTCATCTCTCCATCCCGAGCCTGCAGCTGCAGGAGAGAGCTCACGGTCCCAAGCGGTGGGCATGGAGACGGCAAACATCAGGTCACCACAGCTAATTGCTTCTCTTTCGTTCAACTAGTAGTAGGTAGTAGCTATGGAGTGCGATGTGCTAATTAGTCTGTACTCTGTTTTCCTTTTTGTGTGTAGCAGCCAAGATCCTGACATAAGGGAGGCCCAAGGCTCTGCTTTGGTGGAAGATGATTTCTGGTCCTGCAATTCCGACGACGAAGACGACGCTTGATGATTGGTCGATGCTGCTCCCTTATTTCTTGCTGAATCTCCGAATAGGTGGGCGCCTTTGCTGGTACCTACAGGTAGAATTTTCGTCTGTTTATTTCCTTCCTTCTGATCCATTGCTAGTTCCATTTGGGTTTCTGACGATGTTCATCTCTCTCTAACAGGAGGTGTTGCTCGTTTCCCCTTTGTATGGGCCCTCGTTTCCTTTCCCATTGCTGCTTCTCATTGCTGCCGCCGTCTTCTAACGCCATGTTGGTACACCTCTAACCTCCTTCGACTTTTGTTTTTTTGATTCCATCTCATTCCTCGTGATGTTTGTCAGACTCTCTTTCACGCACACCAACTGTGTGTCTCAATATCTGCAGAAGGACGGTTATATTTGAGATGCATGTTTGGTGACCTCAGTTTGTTAACTTGGTTGTCCCGAACTGTATTTTCATGTAATTACCTGCTCCTAGTTCCATTGCTATTTACCTGCTGGACATGTGAGAACTATCTTACAGTGTGTGTGAGGTTTCCTTGCTTGTTTCCTATCAGGGTATTCTGCTTTAACGTTCGCTTGAGCTTTATTTCTTACTTCCTATAATCCATTTGGTAGTAGAAAAAAGTAGCATATCATTCGGTTGTTAAAGAAAAACCTCCTTCAGTGTTCAGTGTCAGCATGGTAACTTGGTGAGTCAAACATGTTGTGTGTGTACTTACAAGTTACAACCAACATCTGATGTACTTTTCAGCTTGCAATAACGTGATGCATTTGACGACGAAATACACTGATGCACTCTCTGTTTATGCATTTCAGCCAGGGAGAAGACGGTCGAATATGCAATCGACTACACCACACGAGATGCTGCTACTAATTAAGATGCACATGTTGTGATGCCGCCTTCATTGCCCGTCATGCTCAGGGTTCCAAGTTCGCTGCTTGTGGTGGCCTCCAATCCTGACATTTAGCTGCAGATGATTCTTTTGTTACAAAAACATTGCAACATAGTGGCGCCACTCATAGTGCTGATCTCGAAGCCTTCTACCACACTGCAGAGGTCGACGCCTTCCATGGTACGTACAGATGGAACCTTCCTCTGTTTGTTTCTTTCCATCCGATTTCTCACAGAACTAGGCCACCTCGCCCCAGTTGGAAAAGATAGAAATCCGAAACTGCCGGTTGGAATCAGGGATCAATAGTATCGAGCACCTTCCAAACCTCAAGGAGATTTGGCTTAATCGGGATGGTAGAGTTGCCAGGTTTGGTATGTTGCAACGTGAAGTGGGTGCACACCCCAACCATCCCGTGCTGCGATTGCAGAGGGAATGAATCCACCACGACCTGGGTGACATTGTCCAAGGATCCACTACTGTAGTAGATGTGGATGAAGCAACAGAGGCGGAGGGATCATCATCTCTCCATCCCGAGCAAGTAGCAGCAGGGGAGACCTCCTCCTCGCAGTCGCAGGTGGTGGTCGTGACTCGTGAGACGGGGAGCGACAGGTCAGTAGCTTTTTTTTTTCTTTCGTTCACTAGTAGTAGTAGTAGTAGTAGCAGCAGCAGCAGCAGAAGATAAGTATGAACTGAACTGATGACATCACTTAATGTGTTGTTGTAGCAGCCAAGAGCCTGACATAAGGGATGTCCAAAGCTCTGCTTTGGTCGAAGACGATTTCTGGTCCTGCAATTCCGACGAGGGCGACGCTTGATGATTGGTCGATGTTGCTACCTTCTTTCTTGCTGAATCTTCGAATAGGTGGACGCCTTTGCTGGTACCTACTGTTAGGTTGATCTCCTCTGAGCAGGCCCAACGGCCTGCCAGGCCCTTGGTCAATGCGCCCTGATCGGGGGCGCCCAACCCATTATGGTTGATGGGCCCCTGTGACCCGCGCTATATAAACAGAGGTGGGGGCCGAGGCACGTTTTACGAGGTTAATCGCTGCCACAATCCCCACCTATAATCCCTACCGATCTAGGGTTAGCGCGGTGCTCACAGGAAGCTCCACCACCGCCGCCATCTACTCTCTGTCCACATCGTCACCGGCCAGTACTTCACCATGGCCGGTGCTGGTAGAATTTTCGTCTGTTTGTTTCCTTCATTCTGATCCACTGGTAGTTCCGTTTGGGTTTCTGACGATGTTCATCTCTCTCTAACAAGGAGGTGTTGCTCGCTTCCCCTCTATATGCGCCCTCGTTTCCTTTCCCGTTGCTGCTTCTGATTGCTGCCGCCGTCTTCAAATCCCCTTTGATTTTGTTTGATTTCATCTGATTTCTCGCAATGCTTGCTCTTTCATGCACACCAACTTTTTGTCTCAACGTCTGTAAGAGGTTATGTTTGTGCAACTAAATTTAAACTTGAACGCAATTATCTTTTAGATGCATATTTGGTGACCTGAAGTATGTTATCTTGGTTGTTAAAGATAGATAGACCCTTCTTTCAGTGTGCTTTTCTGTTGTTGTTGTTGAACAAATCTTTCAGTGTTCAGGACAAAAATAACTGAAATGTTGATATCTAGGAGGAACCAGAGCAGCTCTGCTAGATGAGAAGTGAGCCTCCAAAGAGAAGTTGGAAGCCATGGGATTTCTCTCTGATACAGGAGGGAGTTCACATGCTCGACACTCAACAGTCCGCCTCCAAAACGTAATAGCTGGTCAGTTAAGCAAGCAACATCTCCTTCTCTTTTTTTTTTGTAGGTAGTATCATGTTAAATTGTTGAGTGTGATTTCTCATGTTCAGTGGGGTTAGGGTTAGTGATACTGTCCGTTCCTTGTTGTCATGTTAGTTCTCCCATACTTACAATGGCGGGAGAGAGCACCTGGTCGCCTGTGGTGGGTGATGCAGACGGGTCAGCTAGCAAATTTCTCCTTCATTCAGTAGTAGTCGCTAGTGTTCAACTGAACCGATGATGTCCCATATACACTTACCACAACTGAACATGCCCATGCTCTGCCGTTGTTTTTCTAGCAGCCAAGACCGTGACAACGGGAACTTCGACGACAATGATTTCTGCCGCTGCAATTCGGGCGATGATGACGACGATGCTTAATGATTGATCGGTGTTGCTCGTATTTTTTCTTCAGCTTCATTGCTGCCCCTCCCAGTGCTGATTCCAACGTCTCCCTCACAGATCGACGCTTTCGCGGGTACAGATCGCATCCCACTTAATTACTCCCTTTCAATCTGATTTCTCGAAGTGATAGTCCATATTTGTTTGGTCTGACAGGCACTTGACATACCACTCTGCTCTCGTCTTGTGGAATCTCGCCGTTACTGCGTAGTCTCTGTTGTATATGCCTCTCTTTCTCAACCTTGGTCAAGCTGGAATATGGTATGCATCGTGTGGTGACGCGACTTGCTGCACAGGCACAACATGCACTTTTTAGATCAACGCAGTCTCACAAATGCAAGATGGCTCCTTGAATCGGCCTGCTGTGTGTGTTCAGTGCTTTTCTACAGATGAAGCTTCCAGCTGGTATGTTGGTTCTCTTTCTGTAAGAATTACAATGTCAGAAAGTGGTAGACTTCTGTAAAAGTGCGGTAACGATAACGATATATGTGTAATCCTTCAGGTACAATTATGCCTGCGAGGTGCTCGACACTGGCACTGCAACCTTTGAAGGTTCAGCTGTCAGAATTGGAGCCGGTGTTGCCAATTCTCTGCAACTTTGATGGTGAGCTCACACATTGGCGATGGAGCAAGCTCAGACCGAGTTCACAAGAGGGAGTTGCATCAGTTTTTCACCGTGGAGGTGATCAACGTGATGTCAAATAATTCCTACTTTGATGAAGTACAAGAGCTTCCAACCCGAGGAATCTGTTCATGTTGAGATAAGCACATGATGACCAACCTCCTACTGAGTATATTCCCTGTATTTGTACTCTGCTTCGCAAAGGGAGTGTGTGTCCAAAGCTACTGACAAACTGAACTTCACTACTATTCCTATATACCTGCTATGGCTGCTCCATCTTCAAGGCTATGAATATATGATACTCCATACTAACTTTGCTCCTTCAATTATACCGAAAAAGGGTTTCCCCCCGCTTTATATTATAAAGCACCAGACACACGATCACAGGGTAACTGCCGGGGCGAACGGCACAACAAGCCCAAAAGGGAAAAAGAAGAAATAAAAGCCAACAACGGCAGCTCGGCAAGCACAAATGATCCGCCACCGTTGCGCCCTCCACCTTCGTCCCACCACACGCCATGGCACCGGCCCGCCGCATACCAAGCAGCACCTCCAAGAAGGAATGCGACGCCAACGACGCTGCTGCCCGGACGAGTCCTAGGGTTTCCCCCGGCATACGGAGGGGAGCGGGTGATGGGTAGCGCCGACGCCCTTCAAGAAGGAATGATGGCACCCTCAGGTGTCACCGCGTCGGAGCCGGAAGAACCGGCAAAGATTTCTCCCACATCCCCAAGCACCGTTACCCACTCGAACCGGGGCCATCCAACCATCAAGCCACCCGCAAGCACGCGCCACCACGGTCTTGGACACATCCACGCCGCCCCGCTGCGAACACCACCACGAGGCCAAGGAGGCCGGAAAGAAGCGCCAAGCGACGGGAGGAACCACACCGAAGCCAAGCGGGAGGGAACCACCTCCCCCGCCGACGTGCGGGAGGCCCGAGCCCCCGGCGACGTCGTGGTCGCCGACCGGACGTGGCAGCAGGGCACACCGGGCCACCCCTGGCCCGGCCAGGTCCACAACGGACCCGCAAAGCCCCGCCGGCCATGTTGCAGCAAGCCGGCACCTGCGCCGCCCGCTCCCAGCCGTCAACGCCGCTCTCCCGCCTCCTGGAGGCCACGCCGCCGGCCCGTCCCGCCGCCGGCCCGTCCCGCCGCCGGCCCGCCCAAACCCAGATGGGGCCCGAAGGGCCCAGATCTGGGC